CAGGCTGTGCAAACCTAAATATAAGGGACATGTCTGCTAACAGTATGCGCCTATAATTAACTATCTACACTAACACCTCCACCTTAGAGAGGGAGGACACCAGCATAAGCAAGGATCTACTATCTACATGCTAGGACACTAACACACTACCTCCGCCCACAATAGGCAATAAAAGCCTAGCAAGCAGAGAAACTAACTCTGCGTATGCTAGGCCAACGTTAGCAGAAGCTCCCCCTGCCATATTACTATACTAGAAGTGGCCTTTTAGAAGGACATGGACGTAGTATATGTCTAAGAACCCTTCACCTGTGCTAACTTAAGAACCTCTACCTACCTAGGCTACAGACACCTTGCACCTATTAGCACCTAGGATGCCCCTAACACACTAGGCTTAGTCTGCCCTAGGGTGATAACCTATATACGCAAAGGGCACCACCTAAAACTCTAGGCTAGAGAAAGCCTTAATTACCTAGATCTGCTGTAGGCTATTGTAAATAGTGTCTTAATCCTTAACTGTTACAGACAGCTATACACCCCTAGCGTAATCCAATACGTTACGCATCTCATGTAGTAGTCTGGCCAAAGGCCAATAAAGGATATCTACTTCCTAACAACTTTTGCTAAAAAGCATGCACAAGTTAACTAGACGTCTAGTTAACTGCGTAGATAATATATATCTAGCTTAAGCCAAGCCGGCTAAGCTAATGTAACTGGCTAGCTCTAGCTCTTCTTCAGCTTTAGAGTCTAGACCGTTACATCTCACACCTCCTCAACAATGCCTCATAGGGGGTGACTTCAACGCTAAGCATGAGTCCTTTAATCCTACCGCCAGCGCAGCCAACAGGGGTGCCGAGCTAGCTAGATGGGCTGCTGCTGCCTCTATGGACTACATTGGCATCCCAGGACAGCCAACACACCAAGCTGGCCAGGTCATTGACCTTACCTTCTCTAATGTCCCATTTGCACAGTCCTGAGTAGATGCGAGCATGCACAGTGGATCAGACCACAAGATAATAGTAACCTATGTCCCTACCTCTACAAGGGACATGCAGCACCTAGATTAGCACCACTACTAAGTTGTAGAAGCAGGCCTACCTAAGTTTACAGGGCTTATTAAGATAGGCGTCTAGAACATCCTAGACCTACTTAGGGCTTACAACGCAGCACAGCTTAACAGATACGTTGTGCTGCTAACAGAGGCATTCTAGCACTCTATACAGACAGCAGGCAAGCTAGATCGCAAGCAAGGACGCGCCACACTGTAGTAGACTAAGGAGTGCAAGACAGCCTACTAAGCCTACAAACACGCTAGACAACACTACTACAGCAGCGCCCTACTAGAGGAAACATAAGCCTTTAAGACAACAGTCTAACAGGCTAAAAGGTAATACTAGAGATATATTATTAATAATGCTAAGGATAGCAAGGATCTGTTTAAGGTAATTACCTAGCACAAGCTTACACTAAACTACTAGGACACCCCTCTTATAATAGATAGAAAAACAATATCTAACCCCCTAGAGAAGGCAGAGGCACTCTAAGAGGAAATCCTTAACCGCTACACAGCAGAAGACAACCTCAGCCACCAACCAGAGCAGGAAGCAAGAGCGTCTCTCCCTTGGAGCACACACATCTCACTAGAGGAAGCTGAGCGAAATACAATAGGGGTCTCCAGCACATCGCCAGGAACTGACCACTCTACAGTGCGACTGCTCTGCGCCTGCTAGGCCTAGGTTAGGGAACTTATACAACAGATCTTTTAGTAATGCCTTTAACTAAACTACTTCCTAGGCTAGTAGAAGCTTGCAGAGGTAGCTATAATACCTAAGGCAGGAAAGAAAGACTAGACGTCACCCTAATCCTAGAGACCTATAGCACTCCTCTCCTGCATTAGAAAAGGACTTAAAAGGACAGTAGCTAGAAGAATAGCGTAGACTGCCATAACCTACAAGATCCTTAGCCCCTAACATAGAGGCGCCCTCCTAAAGCGCTCTGCTGTAGATCTTACTACAGCATTTACTTATAACATAGAAGCTGTGTAGGCTAAAGGCTAGCACGTCACAATAGTAATATTAGATGTGCAAGGCGCCTTTAACACTCTCCTTAAGAACTGCCTTCTACACTAGATAGCCTAATAGGGCTAGCTATAAAGGACTATCCTCTTTATTAACTCTTTCCTTACTAATTAAAGGGTCTAAGTACGCCTAGGCTAAGCTACTACCCCTAGCCACCTAGTCGCCTGCGGCACGCTGCAGGGCTCACCCCTCTCCCTAATCCTGTACACACTGTATCTAGCAGAGCTGCTGTCTATAGACACAAAGAAGAGATTTAGATACACAGATAATATATGCTTATACTAAGCCTTACACTCCCTAGATAAGAATATTAAGCTCCTAGCAGCAGACCTACAATAGATTAGAGTATAGGGCACAGCTAATAAGGTTACCTTTGCCCTAGAAAAATAAGAAATAATCCACCTTACTTAACAGAAGAGCAGCTACACACCCCCCTGTGTAGTAGACAAGCATTACATAATTAATCTAATCTTGCTAAACATGTCAAGAACCTAGCTAGCTCTCTAATAGCTAGGGATCTAGTTTAACTACAAACTTACCTTTAAGTGGTATATAGCCACGCACAATGCAAAAGCGGCTAAGGTAGCCTACTATATCCACAGCCTAGCAAACACAGCCTATAGACTACCAGCTAGCTCCCTTCGCAAGGCTACCCTCGCCTGCGTATACCTGTCTCTTCTGTATGGGGCTGAGTGCTGGTACAGAGGCTGTACTAAACCTCTACGTACACTCAAACCTAGAAGACTAGCAGAAGTCAGCACCTATGTTGGGTGGCACATAGCAGTTATGGACAAAACACTAGCTATAGCAGCAAGAGGTATCCTCCTGGTGTGGCGAACAACCCCTATTGCTACTCTCTTCCAAGACGCTGGACTACCCTCTGCTGCCACTGCGCTGGAAGAAGCCAAACTCCGCTTTGCAACACATCTACGCACAGTAGATGCAGAACATCCACTTGCTAGTTGCACAGCAGCTATAAGGATAAGCATAGGCAGGTTAGCTAGAAAGCTACAGCAAATGCGGACCAAGGTCTAGTATCTAGGATCTCTTCTGCCTAAGATACCTAGGATAATACTATCTACCCCTTACTACTCACCTAGCTATTGTATAGACCCTACTATAGGCTTAGACAAAAAGTCTATAGTAAAGGCTTTCTAAGAATAGTAGGCTAACCTTCTACCTTTAGATATTACTATCTTCTTAGATAGCTCTAAATAGTATACAAAGGAAGGAGAAAAGTAGGTTACCTATAGCTTTGCTGTGTATTAGAATAGAAAGCAACTGCAGACTAGACGTGGCTTACTCTACTCTACCTCGCACGTCTTTAACACTAAGGCAACTAGAGCGTGGAAAGGCCTCTAGCACACTATTAGACAACCAGCGCTCTGCACGCGCTGAATCTGGCTATGCATAGACAGCACCTCAGTCATATAGTGCCTCAGGGGCGACGCACCCCCTACCTCACAGTAGGCCTTCCTGGAGTGCCACAGTGCTATAGAGACACACGACGTCTCAATCAAATGGGCCCCTAGGCACCTAGGCATTGAAGGAAACGAAGCAGCAGACAGACTTGCCAACCTAGAAGCCCAGCACCCATCACCCCCGACTAGAATAGCAGCTATGCCTACACTCTTAGGCATCAAGACAATAGCCTGCAAGATGCTACAGCACACGCAACAAACATAGTAGTCTAACAAGAAGACTAAGCTCTTAAAATAGTATAAGAGCTAGGATCTTAACTATGCACTACGCAGTAGACTATCTAAACTAGACCTACTAAGAGCTACCCTAGCTAGACTACTCTTAATCTAATCTATGCACAGTAACTTTGCCTAGTACTACTAAAAGTATAAACACAATAACATAACACTTACCTGCTTATGCAGGCGCAATAAGACACTAGAGCACCTTATACTCTGCTGTAAGACCTAAGGGTCCTTCAGCTAATAGCCACTCTAACTACCTATACCACTATCTAGCTGTAGCAAAGGTGTAGCATATACTAGTGTGCTTATTAGGGATCCAGAGGCCTTTAAAGCCTTCACCTAACTCACTTAATACTACACTAAGGTCTGCCCCTAGTAGCTCACCCTATGCTGCAACAGCAGCAAACAACTGTACTCTTTCCTTACTCTCCTTCTTACTCTCCCTCTCTCTTCTACTCTTACAGCATTCTACTGCCTTTAAACACACAAAAGGGATTCACCCTAATGTATCTACACTGCTTAGTCTCCCTAACTAGCAGGGGAGCTGTAGCTTAAAACAGTAGCAATACCTACGCAGGCAAGAAATGCTTTCTAAGGTAGTGTGTTAGCACTGTAATCCTATAGCTTAGCACGTCGTATATGCCCTTCGGGAGGCGAGATAGTGGACTTCATCCCTATTATCTAGACGTAAAATGAATACCAACCAACCAACCAACTTGAAACCTCTATCGCTCTTGCTGTTGCTATAGGCGGAGCTCCTCCCTCGCGAGCTGCCTCTCTTGTTGTTGTAATTTTTCCAGCGATTCATTCGTTTCCCTTTCTGCTTCGAGCGCGATCTGCTGTCTGAGCTCCTCTCGGTCGATCTCGAGCTAGCGATCATGCTCTCTGGCTTCCTGGAGTCTGCGCTCGAGGTCGGCCTTCTAGGCTTGAAGCTGTTGCTTCATGTCGTAGTCCATCTGCTTGAAGGCAGTCGTCATCTCCTGCCGAAGTTCTGCCAGTTGCCTCTCATACTGTCTCTTCTGTCTCTCAAGCTCTGCGTGCAGTTCCTGACCGGCACTTGTTTCGTTCAGGTCCTGCTTATTGTCGACGAGCTCCCTTTAGGTGACGAGAGTGACAGGCTTTCTGCGCTTAATGAGGTATTGCAGAGTCGTAATTGCCAAAACCGCGTCGTTATCTTGCCGCGTCACCTTGCTCCCATGTTGGATCATCCGCTGCCACATCTAAGGATTAGTCTTCAGCTACTGCTCCCTGTCGAGTCCTTCATCCTTTTCTACCTTGTCTCAACGGGTGGTGGCGAGAACGACAGCCTCCAGGCTACTTTCACCGCAGAGCGCTCTGATCATGCGCAAGTTTTCATTGTAGCTATGGCAAGAACAAACTAGGCGCCATGTCACTGAGAGCTACATTCAATGTTGTGAAGTCTAGCTCGCGCGACCACTGCAAAATGTCGGCCACGCAATGTAATGGAGATGAGTCTGTCGTACTTGGTGGGCTCAAATAAGACATGCTTGTGTGTCTCCAAGGAGTGTGCACCTAGCTCCATGGTAGCTGCAAAGAGGAGCTTGCTTTCTAAACCCCATGCTGTAAGATAGATGCCATGTTCAATTGCGAAGACCTGCAATAGTAGTAGGTGTCAGCGAAAAGTCTACTCGTGTTATTGCGAGATTCCCCGAATGTCTATGAACGCTTTCCGGACGACTCCTATTCACATTAAGGACCGAACTTCTCTCCCTTCACCAATACCTTGAAAGGGCAGGATTTCCAGTCGCAAGTGTCCTGCACAGCAATCAGTCGCATGCGATCGCGTCAAACGGACCGGAACTCACCTTATAGACTGTAGTTCCCCACCAGCTAAAGTTCTCCGAAACCTTTGTCCAGAATACTGCAAAGAATATTATGACGGCCGCTATAGCGATAGAGCTGTCCAGCGCCGCACTAAGCACGAAAGTGTACCGCTTCCACCAAAGCGCATACTTCCGCTTGACGTAGACACCAAAGACAAGCCCAACAATAGCCCAGCTGCCGTAGTTGGTCCCTGAAGCAGGAGGCAGGTAGTTCAATCCTCCAAGCAGCAGTGGGACGTGTGCGTGCCTCCAGAAGCTCCTTGGGTAGCGCCGCTTCAGCGCGTATACTACGACAGGAAGCATGAGCCCAAGGATGAAGAAGTACAAGAGGTCGTGATAGGTTGCGTTTGCTGAAAAGAATCGGCGTGGACCAACGGCGCCCCAGATGGTGCTGGTGTTGAAGTGCGTGCGTGAAAAGGGACACGTGAAGCCGTTGACAGCGGCGCTGGTGCACACGCCGCTAATGTTGGTCAACGCCCAATTCAGAACGCCGACTTGAGCGAGTGTTGCTATGCAGATGGCTACAAGTTGGACAATGAAGAGCTGGCGTGGAGGTATCTAGAGTCATGTTAGCATATTGGTGGCAAACTGTAGAAAAAACGCACTCCACAGTACAAACCCAGCTTAAAATCCTGAGAGAACTGTAGCGCCTTGATACCGGATATGTAGCCGAGGTTGAAGAACCAGATGTTTGCAAGGACTTTGCCTTCCCAGATGTACCCTGCGATGATTCTGCAGAAGACATCTATATTGATCCTGAGGTTTGTTGTCCCGTAGATGATGCCGAGCTACAGCATAATTAGAGCTAGTGTCAAGGTGACCACAAGCAGAAGGTGTCACTCACTGGTACAAAAAATATGGCTGCGATAGCGAAGGCTAGAAGCACACCATACCAAGGAAGCTGCACCTTCCAGAACTCGCAACAGAATATGGCAAGAAATAGAGACAGAGCAGCCGTCACCCAATACCACCAAATAGGGGTTTCAGCATAAGCGGGCTGGGCTGTTGCGCGCTTTGCTGCACTTGGATGGCGAGTGCTCTTGATCGACTTCACGACGCTCCAGATCTGGTCTCTCTTCTCCAACGCCAGCCAGATGAAGAGCGACATGATGGTCGCGAAGGCAAGTCCGAATTGATTAAGCGCATACGTGACAGGTAGGTAGATCTAAAGCTCCTTTAGATAGGCCTTGGACGCCGGTCAAAGTTCGGGGAAACTCACTGTCGAATAGCTCTCATACTTGACAGCATCAAGTGTGTAGCCATCCTGTTTATCGATGACTCTACTGACGTTGTATGCCTTACCGGTGTTGTCGTACACCGAGTTGCTCTGAATGGGTAGGTATGCTGAATTCCAGACATTGCCGTAGTAAAGAGCGGGCGAGACAATGTAAACCCAGAAGACCAGAGCAGCAAGAACGTTCGCGATGGCCCAAGTAGGTACGACCAAAGGTGACCCGATGTATGCAATCTGTGACCCTGCGATCTCTTATCGTACCGAGCTTGGGGAGCTGATGGGGATAGAACATACAGTCAAATGTGACCGGGATAAGACCCAGTCCACTCTGCATACCGAAGACTTGATTGACTACCGCATTCTTTGGAGCAGCCCAACACAGAAAGGTGAAGTAGCCAAGCGCGGGGAAGATGAAGTCAGGGAACCAATACCAGCAGAACGAGATCGAGAAAGCTATCAGGAAGAAAGAGTATCTCGACATGCGAAACTTATGCCTGTCGTAAATGTGAGAAAGCTGTCATGGCGTTGGCTTCAAGTAACTTACACTGACTCAGACTCGGCCTTGGAAGAGTGAAGGGCATGGTTGAGAGCCGTGTTGGCGAAAACACCAGGCCACAGCATAGAGGATGGGTCCACGACAATCGATTTGCAGATGCCTGCAATCGAGAAACCGTAGAGTATTGTAGCGAGCGTGATCAGCATCTCAAACCCCCATCCAGTCTGATATCCGAAGAAAATACGCTGCTCGGTAAGGACATCGGCGCTCAATCGAGTCAGAAAGCTTAAATTAGCCATGACATAAATGAGGATGTTTTCCTGCACGATCGGATCAGTTATGCTTTGTAGCAATGGAGCAAGCCAGTGGACTGTCATACCTTCTGGTTGAACGGCCCAGGGTTTAGCCTGAGCTTCCAGCCAAGAATGGAGAATGTCCAGTCCGGCACAATCTTCTCCCATGTCTTGCCGATGGGAAAGGCCAGGAACTGGACGGCTGACTGTGTGAGGGATATCGAGGGGAAACGCAGCGTGTACAGCGTATTGAGACCACACCCCAAAAGCGTAAACGAGACACCAATCACCCACATCCGCAGTGTCAGACAGTATGCCGTGGGGTCATCTGCATCCATATCGATGCCTGCAGCTGAAAGTACTTCACTCGCACCATCACTCTTGCTCTCTGGATCAGCTGCTGTGTCTCGTTAGCTCTGTCAGCGCGTTGATGGGTATACATTCATACCCGCCTCGTTTACATCGATCGTATGGCCTTCAGCGACCGACTCCTCGACCTTGTTATTGGGTCGCATGCTTGCACACACAGAAGATCTGACAAAGAAGAATGGTGGCAAGATCGCAGCGATTGATAAGATTACCGCGCCATAGCTTAACGTATATAAGCCTCGGTCGCTTGTACGGCATGCTAAAGTAGTCTTTGTTGCCGGGATGCCGCGCACGCCCCACCTCGGGGCGCATGTAAGTCTCTGGAAACTCGTATGGCAGATTCCACCTTCCAGCCGAGCCTCCAAAAGATGCGCCATTATGCACGGATGCCTTGAGACTAGCCGTGAGCGTGGAAGGAGTGGGCATAGCAGGAGAGTTCGGCGGTACTTTCGGCACCTACCCTTGTGACTATATTGTGGCTTCGGTAGGATAACCAGAGTGGCGCAAAGTCATGACTTATTCCAAGGCTATCTTTCGGGGATTGTTCGCTTTCTTTGTCGACAAATGCAGTGGCTTTCGGAAAACATGTCGTGATTGGGTGCCTCCCATGACGAGCTGCCAGAACACTGTCTCGGATCCCAGACAGAGGCCATAATCTTCAGTTATCCGTGAGCCCAGGAACAAATTTTGTAAGGACCTGGCGCTCCCCTCTTCGGGTAGTCCGGAATTTGACGCTATAGGTAGAATCATAATCAGGTCGTGAGGACACTAGACGTCAGCTGTCCGATATCTTTACCATCGACAACAAACTGTACTTCCTGCACGCTTCGAAAGGCAGTACCCAACGGTCCGATGTAGCTGATATAAGCACCGCATTCTTCCTCCCATGCTTCTTGCAAGTACAGCAGTACCATGATCTTAAGAGACGTCAGAAGCTCCAGTCGCCTTTCTTCTCCGCTGCCAGCGAAAGGATACTGACGAATGCTGCGAAAGGAATTCCACAAGGAGCGATGCTTTCCAAACACAAGCTTCATCTCCAGGTTGGGCAAGGGCTCTGATTGCGGCATGGCAGCAATCCAACCCCAATGCCATCCTGTAGAAGCTTCAAAGCAAAGTCTCTCGATCAAATTGACGCTGTTCGAGCCAGGCTGGAGACAGACAGCACGAACATGCATGAACAGCAAGGCCAACGGGTGCATGGATGTACTTGCCCATTTGCGACCTTGCAATATCGCGCCACACATGCGCGCAACGTGCACCATGTATGGGTCGTTTGCGTTACTGAAGAAGCGTAGCGTTATGTTGACCCTGTCGATTGGCCCAGATATTCGCGCGGGGCAGCAGGTCCAGGTAGGCCAGAGTTCATTGTCGACGACCATAACATCGAGTGTGTAGGTCAATCTGAGCTGTTTCAGACGATTATTTGTCTCGTATCTTAGCTGTGTATTAGTCCCGAGTAGTCCAGAAGCATTGTACGTTTTTGGCGATATTGTCGGCGGCCGCAGGGCGTCCTGTCTGGTGAGTTTCAGTCGCGACTCTGTCTCATGTGCAGGGTTTTTCGGAGGCTCTCTGCTACGAAGAATGACTTGCTCGATGATCTGATCGCGGATCTCAAGAGGTAATAATAGTAGCGAGGACATGAGAAAGGTGCGCAGTGGCGTTCAGAATGAGAATTGAAGAACGTCCTGAAGGACTGCGCTTACGAAAATGCGCTAAGAATAAGACCCCTTCTCCAGTCACGTCATCACTCACAGAAGCACGACCGAATCACAAGTGTCGATTTCTGGATTCATGCCTATTACACCAACGATACTGTCCGTTGCTGATATGCTACTGTTGCATTAAATCGCTGTTGCAAATCCCAAATTACGCTGCCAGATCGCAGCGCGACATCGCAACCCACAACGTATTGTTCAGCTAGAGAAATCAATGGAGTCCCCGAAAATAGCTCAGAAGATTCCTCGAAGGCAAATGTTGAAATACGCAGCGCGTTTGCAAAATCGGGGTCGCGCGCCTTGATTTTCTCTGAAAGGTGTCAACTCCACCTCGTGGTCTCCTCTCTCCTTTCACTCTCCTCTGCACCATCAAGCTTAATCTGATGTTCCCATTCGTTGCGTCCTTGTGCTTACTTTATCATGCTCACATATGACTGAGCAAATATTGAGCAGATTATTCAAGTACTATCACATTACACACATCTGATCGTCGCAATAAAGATGAGCACTTTTAGCCTCTGTCCTTCCTCAGTGGCGCTGTAAAAGGATATAAGAGGGACTCATGCTGTCAAGGCCTTTCGTTGTACTAAATGAGTGAAGACCTCCTGGATGGCGAAGTACAGCAATTTCCCACCTTGCCACGATCATCACGGTCCTGGAGATGAGCCGATGTTTTATCAACAACAATCATCACGAACCCTCAGCTGTCAGACCTGCATTACGAATTCACAAATCGTTGCTCAACGCCGGAATCGTTGACGGTATCCCTTCGGCCGACTTTGCTTCCATATACTATGGCCCTCTGGGCGGTTGAGTCTGGGGCCGTCGTCGCATTTCTCTCAATCACACGACATCGAGGCTCCAGAGTAATTGCGCGATAGATACGGCAATTATGTGAAGAGTATCTTCTGTGGCATTTTTTGTGTTGATATTGACTACTAAGCCCGCGCACTCAGTCGGCGGGTCGTTGCAATACTGGATTTCATTGCCAAGTGCCGATACACTTTCGAGGGGACTTGGAAGCTGCGCAGCTGACCACGGCATGTTGGCGCTGCGTATTGTGTCATTTTTCGATGTTAACAAGGACTGCTCGCTAACGGTACTTCGTTTCAACGTTCCGAAGAAATTAGATTAACCATATATCCGACACCTGGTCACACTCTTGACGTCGACTCCGGCACTTTGCCGGTCAAGGATCTTGCTGCACCCTGCAAACTCGCCACTGGGGTTGACTTAATATCTGTTTCATTTGTTTTCGTTCGTGTCACTTGCAGAGGTGACTGCGTCACACCATTTGTGCTTCGGGTCATCGAAGAATCCACCCCCCAAGAACGACAAGCAACGCTTTGCTCAGCTGACCAGCCGCATTAGTACTGCACTGCCGGGAGATGCATGCTGCCATCCTTCGATGGCTAGTATGTAGTTGATGAAGCGGGAAGGGACTCCGTTGAGAATCACGGCGATGTCAATACCGTCGAAGAGAGAAGTATATAAGTTGAGAAGGCCAACAAATACAAAATCACAACCAGCATTCGTTTCTAGACTACCCAAGTACTATTAGCATCCGACTCTCGCTCCAAGATGCTTTCCGCGGCACTTATCCTCGGCGCTGTTGCCACTCTGCTGGACACCGCGTCTGCCCACGGCTTCGTGAGCGACGTCTCTACCAACAATGTCTGGGCCAAAGGCTCCAACCCCGTATGGTACTACTCCGCCGCAAACTCTCGACCCCAGACTGCGGGTTGGGACTCATTGAACCAGGACCTTGGTTTCGTCGAGCCCGCCTCCTTGGGCACTGATGACATCACCTGCCACAAGAGCGCAACCGCCGCCAGGCTCTATGCCGAAGTCGCTGCCGGCTCAGCGTTGACCTTCTACTGGAACACCTGGCCAGATAGTCACAAGGGCCCTATCATCAACTACATCGCTCCCTGCAACGGTAGGTCTCGGAATTGTTCAACTTTGCGAGCGCCGCTGATAGTTTGACAGGTGACTGCACCACACTGACTCCCGGTTCTCTTCGCTGGAGCAAGATTTCTCAGGCCGGTCTTATCACTCCAGGCGGCAGTGGAACCTGGGCCACCGACAACCTCATTGCTACCAACTTCACCTCGACTACCACTATTCCCAAAAACCTGCAGGCCGGCAACTACGTCATCCGCCACGAGATCATTGCCCTGCACGGCGGTCAGTCCGACAACGGCGCGCAGCTCTATCCTCAGGTGCGTCTCTTTTCTACCTCGTTTGAGCAATGATTACTGACCTTTCTAGTGCTTGAACATCAAGGTCACAGGTAGCGGCTCTGTCGCCCCTTCAGGCGGTGTTGCTGGCAACACTCTGTACAAGAGAAACGACGCTGGCATCCTGTTCAACCTTTACATCAGCCCCACGAGCTACCCATTCCCTGGTCCAGCCCTTTGGACTGCAGCGAACTAGGTCATGAAAGCAACCAACGCATTCTTGGACGTTTCGAAGGTTATACTGAGGATCTTGGCATGGTAACTCTTGAGTAAGAGTAGGGCGGCTGGAAAGCTTCTTGTCGATATTACGTTCGCTTAGATAAGACAATTGATTGCTATTCCGAGTTTTCTCATGTCTGTTTGCCTGCCAGCGCGCTTATCATCATCTGCAGCTCTTAAGTCGGTCTACGACAAGGGCTTTTCCCACGCTCCTGCACCACCCGAACAGCACCCAGAGCCTCACATTGATTCATCCGCTCACTCACACTTACATAATCTCCCTATGAGCTGAGTCAAAAGGAAAGCCACAAGAAAGGGCAACCGGAACATCGCATCGTTCCCAATGCCGTTCTCCGCAATTTAGGAGACCCTTCGCTCATAGCTGAACCACACCAGACCCTGCCCAAAGAGCTTCAGATCGTCAGCACCGGACCTGATACGGAACAGATGAAGGGCGTAGCAGACAATCTTGCGAGTATGTACATCCAATTCCTTCCAATGGTCATGGAAATGGAAGATGAAAGCCGAGCGATTTAGCCAGGGCTCGGAACTCAGTGCTGTGTGCTCATTGGCATAGTACTGGCTCCGTTGTGTCAATACCGTGAACATCCTCCCAGCTGGATGACCACCTCTGTTGTGCGAAGCATTGCTGTTAATGCAATCCCTAATCGCAATTTGTTCACTTGATTCGAAAAATTATACGGATGCCTTACACAGCTGTGGAGATCCTAAGGCATCCAGCATCACCGCTGCAGTGTGAGAGGCTAATCCCAGGCTTTTGGCACTACCGAGGCGCTGCGCCCTTGACCACCACCTGCACAGCCACATCGAGAACACACAAGTCTTTCCGACAGCCACAACGACATCATGTAATCCTGGAGGTCGTCAAGTCTTCCATACTTCAATCTGTGGTTTACCATCACTATGCCATTCCTAACAAATTTGCCGACCGAACTGCGACAGCAGATCCTCCTGTTAGCACTGCCAGAGACGAACCGCGTGGAGTCTGCGGTGCCGACTCAGTTCGTCCACCTCTTCCACATCAATCAGCGTCTGCGCCACGACATGAGTGCCGTCGCGTCCATCTGGACACCCATCCACTACATCTCCCACCCCTCCACCCTCACGAGCTGCACGCCTCGCACCCGTGACTGGAACTGCAGTCGCATCTGCCTAGACTTGTTCTACAGCTCCTTCCTCGGCCGCATCGTAAACAGGTACAGCAACCAGAGTCCCGCAAGCTATGCCCACCCTGGGCTAGTTCTCGATTGGATAAACGCGGTGCCGTTCTTGCCAAGGGATGTGAATGAGATCTGGCTCGATGTCACGCCTGCGCCGGCTGAGAAGCGCGTGCACCACCCCAGATGGCACGAGTGTGGCCCGCCATGGTTCGATCTGTTTGTGCATGGTGACCATGCAGCTCAGAGGTTCCTTGGGGGTCATGTACAAGACGTTGCGGTGCTGATCAGAGCGCTCGAAAAGCGTTACGGGGGGCGGGTAAGCATCAAGCTCTCAGGCAGGCTGAGCGTGAAAAGTGTGTTCTTTGTCCAAGCCATCCGCAAGGAGGTCGGTAGAGAGAAGGAATTTGTGGGGTCGTGGGTGTCGAATGAGGATGCACTGGGTGCTTCTGTGTCATCAGAGTTGTGTCCAATGGCACGGGAGACGGGACGCTGCGGCATGCATATGTTGGCGTGGCTAGTGAAAGTGGTTTGGAGTAAGGACACTGGCGATTTATATACTGAGCTTGCGAATGAGTGCTCCGAGTGGATGCTCATTAGAGACGTCAAAAAGATTGCGGAGGTCCACGAAGGCGAGGTTAGGGTGGTATTGCCGCTGGGGGACGGTCTGAGGAGGGCTTTCCAGTGCCAGGTTGCGACAGATTTGGGCTTGAAGACAATCGAATCGGGCGAAGGAGGCGACAGACATGTCATCGTGCAGCGGTAGCCTAGTGTTGATCGTCTGAGTTCCAGCTTTTTCGACGTACCGTGTATCTCCGGGCTCTGTTCAACCATCTTCCTGTGATGAAGAATACAAACGTTCAATTGCAGACCCTGCGTTTACGCTGATTGCATGCCCTTTTTCAACCGATGAAAGCAGTTTGAGAAGAAAGAAGTGTCTATCAGCCCCGGCCACATGCGATCGAGTCATTGCTGCCAAGCTTAAAGTACAAATTCCAATGGTTCTTGCACCCAGGGTTGAACCTCTCCGCACACTTCGGACACCGGCTTTCGCTGTTCATGTACTCGCCAATGCTCAAAACGTGCTTACACGCTCCGCAAAGCACTGACATTTCATCTCTTTGGTCTATCGGCCAGACTCCAGACTCATGAGTCTCTTCTGCATCGTGACAGCTGATGCAGGCGTAGAACTTTTGGCAGCAGAAGTGCTTGATGGCAATGATGTCTAGCGGAGAGTGCCAGTGGGCGCATTGTGTCAGGGAGGTGACAGAGAGACCGTGAACGACCGGTGCTGAAGATGTGTCTGTCCTGGAGGACATGTTGCTTAGAGTGATGGGATGACAGTCCTTCGGAATCAAAGGTGAGGATGTAGGGCTGAGCTAGCCTCGGAAGCGGAGATCCACTTCGCTGTTTCAAGCGGTTCAATCCTTGCTTGTGACGTGATGCTGCTCGGTCCTCGCAGAGCCTCATTCAACGCTCGATCGATGCCTTAGCTGGCATGTGAGGTGTGTGTGATCGAAGAGATCAAGGATTCAACAGACTGCTTCTCGAGCAGCAGAACTGTCAGTTGTAGCTGCAGAATACATGTAGCTTCCAGAAGCTCCATCAGGCTATGAGATACCTGCAGACAGATCTTGACTACATCCCTTCTTTTCAGGAACGTGCTGCCTGCAACAGAACTGGCTCTGCGACACGAGAGCCTTGGTTGTTGTGCTGACCAGGAGCATTCGTCCGCACAGGAGCTCTAGTGAGGTCATTCACGACGAAGACAGCATGCATCACATCACCTTGGGTGACGTTCTCTCACATTCCAGAGAACTCTTGAGCTCCGCATCTCCAGTGTTTTCACGGCCGGCCAATGCCTCGCTTTCGGGCAGCTTCGGAGGCTGGTGTGAAGCTCGAGCTCGAAAGGGCCTTCGTCATTAGCCCAGGTGCCCCCACCAAGACCCCGCCAGCTCCTCAAACATTTAGGTAGTCGAAGCTCAACAACACATTGTTTCTTCAACCTACTTCTGCATACTTTGATACCCCTTACACACTTTCCAATCCTCACTCGCATACCAATCCTCAAAATGGCGCGTCAATTCTTCATCGGAGGCAACTTCAAGATGTAGGTTGCACAGCTCAAGCTTCTTGGAATTGATGGCTGATGGAATAACAGGAACGGCTCTATCGAGTCCATCAAGAAGATTGTGCAGAACCTCAACGACGCCAAGCTCGACTCCAATGCCGGTGAGTACTCACAAGTGCAGATTTGAAGTGCCGCAACGCTGACAGGCAACAGAGGTCGTCATTGCTCCTCCCGCCCTCTACCTCCTCCTGACCCGCGAGCACCTCCGCAAGGGCATCGAGGTCGCCGCCCAGAACGTCTACGACAAGCCCAACGGTGCCTTCACTGGTGAGATCTCCGCCGAGCAGCTCAAGGACAGCGGCATCACATGGGCCATCCTCGGCCACTCGGAGCGCCGCACCATCCTGCAGGAGGACGACGCTTTCATTGCCAGCAAGACCAAGGCTGCGCTCGACGGCGGTATCAGCGTGATCCTGTGCTGCGGCGAGAGCCTCGAGCAGAGGGAGGCCGGCACCACCGTCGACGTTGTCACCAAGCAGCTCAAGGCTGTCGCGGACAAGGTCAAGGACTGGAGCAAGATCGTCGTTGCCTACGAGCCCATCTGGTGAGTCCCAAACATTGAAAAGCAGCTGAGCAACCCTGACGCATACCAGGGCCATCGGCACCGGCAAGGTTGCAACCACGGAGCAGGCTCAGGAGGTCCACGCCGCCATCCGCGAGTGGCTAAAGAAGGAGGTCTCCTCCGAGGCTGCGGAGAAGACGCGCATCCTGTACGGCGGCAGCGTCAACGAGAAGAACTGCAGCGAGCTGGCCAAGCAGGCCGACATTGACGGTTTCCTTGTCGGCGGTGCTTCGCTGAAGCCTGCGTTTGTCGACATCATCAACGCCAACTCTGCGTGAATCCATGGCAGCGGCGCGCGATTGTAGTTGGATATCATGAGTAACGCTACCTGACGACAATAAAAATGAATGAACAAATAAGCCATGCGTGATCTTGTCGCCGTTTGGCAGCAGCAGAGTCGTTGTGCATTTTGATAGTTTGTGATAATTGTACATTTGCTGTACAGTCCAATCCAATTGCGCCGTCCATGCCAGATGTTTATACATGTCTCTCGTACCCAGAAGATGCACGTCTCTCTCGCGTCCAGAAGATGCACGACTCTCTCGCGTCCAGAAGATGCAGCTTGGCTCTTCTCCCATACTCAATTCCGTCCTTATATCTGTATCTTGGCGCCGTGGAACGGACTCCAGATACCCCTCACGCTCTCATTGACACTGCTGACGGGCTTGCCCAGCTTCCTGTTCTTCTCTCCGTTGCTGTCGCGCAGCATCTCAGCCTTTTCCCGGACGCCTTCGTTCTGCAGGTTCTTGACGCAGATGCTCCGTGTGGCGCCGTTGATGTAGTGTGCGATGATGACGGGGTGCTTGCGCGGGCGCGGGCTCACGGAGAACTCGATGGAGGGATTGCGCGAGGCGAACACGGGCAGGGAGGATTTGATGAAGGCGTTCATGCCGCGACTGGATCCCCACCAGTTGCAGTAGTGGAAGTCGAGGCGCTTGCATTGGAGGACGAAGGCGCCGACGCCGTTCTGCGGGGGTTAGCATGGAGCTGAGTGGGAGGCTCTCATGGCGTACCTGGGCCTTTGCGACCGTCCGGATCGCTGCGAGGGGCATGTTGGCGGTCGATGGCTGGTGGAGTGCAGCTGGCGTTGCTCATGTCTGCCGTTCTTTCTCAGATCACGTGCGCGACTTTTGCCTGGCGCGCAACTCGAACTTGACCTCTCGCTCCCGCTCCAGCGCCAACTCCACCACCCTCCCCACCACTTCACGTCGCAGCCGGAGCACCCGTCAAGCACTGCATCCAAGATGACGTACCAGCTCCCGCCGATGCTGCTGAACCTGTTCGCCCCGCGGCCGCCGCTGCGCTGGGTGGAGCCCATCGACCACGCGCCGGAGAAGCGCTGCACGCCCAAGATCGGCGGTGTCGCGCAGTATCTCGAGGCGATGCGCGAGTACAAGGACAACGACGGCTACGTGCCGAGCGACAGCTGGCTGCAGAAGCGCGACCGCAAGAAGATTGAGAAAAAGGAGAAGCAGGAGAGGCTGCTGACCGAGGGCATCCACGATTGCACGCACACACACGCACTCGATGTCTCCATCCATGGCTAACACGATGCAGACAAGCCCAGCGAAGACGCCAAGGTCCAGGGCGACGCGTTCAAGACGCTCTTCGTCGCCCGCCTCGCATATGGCGCCACCTCGGACGACCTCGAGCGCGAGTTCGGCCGGTACGGACCGATCGAGCGCATCCGCATCGTGGAAGACACGACGGCGCCGCCCGATGCGCCGCCCAAGAAGCGCAAACGCGGTTACGCCTTCATCGTGTACGAGCGCGAGAAGGACATGAAGGCCGCGTACAAGGAGACGGACGGCATCAAGATCAAAGACCGCCGCGTGCTCGTCGATGTCGAGCGCGGCCGCACCGTGTCTGGCTGGCGTCCGCGCCGCTTTGGTGGAGGCCTTGGAGGCAGAGGATACACCAAGGGCCCTGCCGCGCGACTCGGCGGCGCTGGAGGGTTTGGCGCGCCCGCCGGACCTGGTGGCTTTGGAGGCCGCGGCGGCTTCGGCGGTGGTCTTGGCGGTCGTGGCGGCGGTCGCGGGGGCTTTGGTGGAGGCGATCGTGGTGGCTTTGGTGGAGGCGATCGTGGCGGCGATCGTGGCGGTTTCCGAGGAGGGTTCGGCGGCGGACGTGGCGGCGGCCGTGGTGGCATTGGGTTCCAGGGATCAAGTGGCTACGGTCCGCCAGACGGTGCTCCTGCCGGTCCTCGAGGACCACGAGGTGGGTTCGGCGGAGATCGTGGCGGCGACCGTGGCGGCGACCGTGGAGGCGACCGCGGCGGTGACCGTTATGGCGGCGACAGACGCGGGGGAGGCGATCGAGGATCCAGCGGTGCCAACAACGAACCACTCGGCAGAGATCGATACAACGAGCGCGACCGCGGCGGCCGGGACAGCTACGGCGGCCGAGACGACTCGCGAAAACGCGCGTACGAAGGCGACAGCTACGACGACAGGAGCCAGCGCAGGAGGTACTAGTCTCGAGACGTGTCATGGGTTTGTCAAGGTTACCTCCCATTTCTTCCTCCGACCTTGTTTGTCAACGAGGGTAAGACAAGAGCGTACCGAGCGCATCAGTATTGGAGGGTAAGCAATTCACTCGTGCACAAGACAGGCTCAAAACACCAAGAACAAGAGTAGGCAAGAGTAGGCAAGAGTAGGCAAGGGTAGGCAATGGTAGGCAAGGGTAGGCAAGGGTAGGCAAGGGTAGGCAAGAGTCGGCAAAGGTGACTCGGATGTTGTATGTCTATCATAATCTTTTGGTTCAGCACGGGTAGGTAGTAAGTATTGTTACGAACAGTGGATGCAGCGTCGAGGTAGGATTGCAGCCACGGACTCGTCTCCTCTCGGGGATGTTAGTGCGATGCAGGTACACGTTCACACATACAGCACGTGACTGGTTTGCAGTGCGTTGTATCTTGCTTGTTTCGAGTAGCTTTTTGTACAGTATATAACTGATTTGCATTCCACCTACTTCCCCAGCGTCAGGAACAGGCGATCCCCAATGTCGCCCAGGCCGGGCTTGATCATGCCCTTGTCGTCAACACCCTCATCGCACCCACCAACCCACACCTCGACGCCCTCAGCCCACTCGCCACACGCCGCACGCAACCCCTCCGCCGCCGCGAGCACGCTCACAACCACAATCCTCTTCACGCCGTGCTCGCGCAGGCTGTCAATGGCCGCACAGGCCGTCGCGCCCGTCGCGATGATGGGGTCCACGACGATGGCCAGATCGGCGGGCCCGCCGGCGTGCGCGCCCGTGGGCGAGTGGTAGGGCAGGTTGTTGTAGTACTCGACGGGCTGCAGGGTCGTCTTCTCGCGGAACAGACCGAGGTGGTGCACGGGCACGGGGGCGGGGAGCAGCGAGGAGAGCGCGGGGACCATGGACAGCCCGGAGCGCAGGATGGGGACGAGGGATATGCGCGACGGCGGGGGCGAGGTGGTTGTTGTTTCATACTCGTAGCCGAGGGGGGACTTGTCCTGGGGAGGGTGTTAGGGTGGGTGGCATTGTTGTGGAGAGACGGCAACATACGGTGCCTTCTTGCGTAGTCTGGAGGACGGAGCCCAGCGCTTCATACCCGACCATCAGCGCGATGTCGTGCACCAGCGTCTGCACATGGCGGCTCTCTGTCGACGCGGAGCGCAGCTGCGAGAGCTTGGCCTGCAGGCACGGGTGCGAGGAGACGTGGGCATTCGTTGGCAGGGCAGACATGACGGTGACGGGGAAACGACAGACGTGGACGGTGACTGCGAAGCTGTGTACGGCGTTGAGCACTGTATATAATTCTACATGGACCTGGCTGTCCTCATGCAGCAGGTCGCCATGGCCCAAGCTACCCCACCGTTATCAGCAGCTGGCACGCGGATGGCGGAGGTCACCGCAGTGGCGCAGCTTGCCAGCTAGACACGACGGTGGCACGCTGGCACGCTGGTACGCTGGCACGGTGGCACGATGGCACGCTGGCACACGTGACGCGGGCAGACAGGCCATCCCTGTCGTCGGAGAGTTGGCGGGAGACGGTCCTTGTCGGATGGGCCGTCGTCGGAGAGTTGGCGGGCGCCGGCAGGCTTAGCTCGCTCGCCGCGCAGACGCTGTTTCTGGCGCACTTCACCAATGCAGCGTCCATGGTCTGCTTCGGGCGAGCCAGCAGCGCCCAACTAGGACCGACTCGCGTGCCAATTTTGCTAGATGCGCCGAACCTTGTGTTCGCAACATGTCGAGTGACTGCGCCGCCGTCAGGGGCGTTTGTCCTGCACCAAGTTCAGTGACTGAGACAGTGAGACGTGAGACTGGCGAAGGGTGAGGTTCTGCGTCATCACACAAGGTATTGCGCATCGACATGGCCGACGACGATGAGCCCACCAAGCGCGCGAGCCACTTCAACGAGCAGCGCGCGAGTCTGCGCTCCGACACCAGTCGCGGCTCGTCCAACACGCGCTCGCGCTCGCGGCACCAGAGTCTGCTGTCCCAGAGACAGAGCCAGTGGCCCACCAACGACGGCTTCGAGCTCTATCCAGATCGTGCCGATAGCGAGACGCTGCCCTCGCCACCCGGGAGCCCGTCGCCGGCGCCTGTGATTCCACGGGACCGTTCCGAGACGCTCGCCAGCCACGAGAGGGAGCAGACGCAGAGCAAGAGATGGAGCGCGGGGAGAGATTCGGCCACGTCGCGATCCAAGTCACGCACAAGAGACTCGGCCACGTCGCGGTCCAAATCACGCACAAGAGCCCCTTCCATGCCGCGGTCCAAGTCACGCACAAGAGCCCTTTCCATGCCGCGGTCCAAGTCTCGCACGAGCGCCCCGTCCAGAGGCCGCAACATCGAAGACCTCCTCATCGCCGCGTCGTGGGACCATCTGGACTTCTTGTCCTCGCCGCCGCCAGACATGCCGCCCGGCAGAGAAGAGTACTGGCGCGCCAAGTCGGAAATCAATCAGAGCAGCGCAAGCAACCTGCCGCAACCGTCGTCATCGAGGAACGCAGCAGTGCCACGCACTCCCTCCAAGACGTCGCGACGCCCCTCGCTCTTCAGCTGCTCCAACGCCAGCAGCTCGCCTCGATCGCAGAACGGCATCACGGCGCTTCCCATCATGGCGCCTCCCACCGCGGCGGATGACGCACCGCAGCTCTCAGGCGCGGAGCGCTACCACCGGTCCCAGCCAACGGCCAAGGCCCAGCGCATGTCCAGACTGGCGACGGAAGTGTACACCATCTGCTTTCTCATCTTCTTCGCCATCTGGGGCTCACTGGCGCGTCTCGGGCTGCAGGCGCTGACCTTTTACCCGGGCGCGCCTGTCGTCTTCAGCGAGCTGTGGGCCAACGTCGCGGGCACGTTTGTGATGGGGTTTCTGGCCGGGGACGTGCGGCTGTTTCGCGACGAGTGGGGGAGTCACGGCGGCGAAGCAGCCGTGGTAGTTCAGCCCGTCGATTGGCCCGCAGAGGGACACGAGTCGCTGGAGAGGCAGGGCACCTTTGACAAGTCTGACAGGAAACGGCACGGCACCTTTGACAGGAAACGGCACGGCGCCTCTGACAGGAAACGGCACGGCGCCTCTGACAAGAAACGGCACGGCGCCTTTGACAAGAAACGGCACGGCCAAGTCAAGAAGACAATCCCGCTGTACATTGGCTTGACGACAGGCTTCTGCGGGAGCTTGACCAGCTTCTCGTCGTTTGTGCGCGATGTGTTCCTCGGCCTCAGCAACGACCTGCCCGCGCCGACCTACCACGCTACATCGGCGCCGTCGACGCTCGTCCACCGCCAGGCAGGATACTCGGTCATGGCGCTGCTCGGCGTGGTGCTCGTGACGGTCGCGCTGTGTCTCTGCAGCCTCAAGGCCGGCGCCCACCTCGCCGCCGCCCTGGACGGCATCACGCCCACGCTGCCCTTTGGCAGCACCCGCCGGCTCGTGGACCCGCTCTTCGTCGTCGCAGGAATCGGGTCCTGGATCGGCGCAGTCGCCCTCGCGTGTCGGCCGCCGCACGACGCATGGCGCGGCCAAGCGCTCTTCGCGTGCGTGTTCGCGCCCCTGGGCTGTCTGGGCCGCTACTACGCCAGTCTCGCGCTCAACAGCGTCAACCCGGCGTTCCCGCTCGGCACGTTTGTGTGCAACATGTTCGGCACCGCGGTGCTGGGCATGAGCTACAATCTCCAGCGCGTCGCCATCAGAGGGGTTGCGGGCGGCGGCCTCGTCGGGTGCCAGGTGCTGCAGGGCATCGAGGACGGCTTCTGTGGCGCGCTGACGACGGTCAGCACGTGGATGCTGGAGCTGGATACGTTGCCGAGGACGCACGCATATGTGTACGGCGCGAGCAGTGTGGTCGTGGGGGTCAGTATGCTGACGGTGGTCATGGGCAGTGTGCGGTGGAGTGTGGGGTGGGAGGCGGTTGCCTGTGCGACGTGATGGGATGATGACAACCGGACATGTAATGATTCATGATGGGAATAGGGTGTGTACAGTGTGGGTGTGTACAGTGTGGGTGTGTAGAGTGTGGGGTATACAGTGTGGGTGTATACAGTGTGGGTGTATACAGTGTGGGGTATACAGTGTGGGGGTATACAGTGTGGGTGTATGTGATATGGGCGTATATAGCGTGGGCGTATATAGCGTGGGCGTATATAGTATGGGCGTATATAGTATGGGCGTATGTGATATGGGCGTATATAGCGTGGGCGTATATAGTGTGAGCGTATATAGTATGGGCGTATATATAGTGTGAGCGTATATAGTATGGGCGTATATAATATGGGCGTATATGGGCGTATATGGGCGTATATAATATGGGCGTATATGGGCGTATATGGGCGTATATAATATGGGTGCATACAACATGGGCGCATACAACATGGGCGCATACAACATGGGCGTGTATACCTCGTAGCCGGGCCAGCGTTCCTACACAAGATTCAAACAATGCCCAGCACGCGCAGAGTCTCGTCCACACGTCGGGGGCCAAGAGACCGTTGGCCGCTGATCCCTGCGGGCGGTGCAGTGGCGTCAAATCAGCCTGCGGGCTTCCCGTCGAGGACCTGGTCACCTCCGACGTGCGCGTGCGACGTGCGTATTGGCCCCAGAGGCTGCCTGTCTTTCTTTTGCCTCGCCGCGAGCCCCGTTTGCGACTACGTTCCTTGTTTGCTCCTTTTTTCTCGCTCTCGCGCTCCGACTCCCACCTACAAGTCTCGCCTGCCCCCCGCATAGACACACACACATCCGCATCGCATAGACACACACGCATCCGCACCGCCTCGCCTCGCACCGCCTCACCTCACCTCGCATCGCCTCACCTCACCTCGCATCCGCATGCGCATATCCCCGACCCAGCACGACCCTCGCCCGCCCGCCCGCCATGTTCGAGCCCGGCAAGCCCAAGATCAAGACGCGGACAGTCACCATCCTGAAGAAGGTCGCCCCGCCGCCGTCCCGCACAATAGCGTCCAGCGGCGGCGGTGCTGCGCGCCCGCGTGCGCCCGCGCCGCCCGCCGGCCGCTTCCAGCTCACGTCGTCGGCGGCGGCGGCGCAACGGCCGCGGCCAGCGGCGCGCGAGTCGCCCGCCGTGTCCAACATGCGAAAGCGAAAGGTCACGCCCAGCACGCCGCCGCAGTGGGCGAGCAGCGACGAGTCGAGCGACGACGAGGGGGCCAGGCTGCGCGTCGGGACGTCGGGCAAGCGTCTGAAGAGCAACAGCATCGAGCCCGCGAGCGTGAACCGCCAGCTTGAGCCTGACATGGCCCGCCGCATACGCATACGGCGCGACTCGGACACGAGGCAGGGCGGCCAGGCCGCACACAAGGCGGGCGGCCAAGACGCACACAAGGCGGGCGGCCAAGACGCACAAAAGGCGGGCGGCCAGGCAGACGGCCAGGCGGACGGCCAGGCAGACGGCCAGGCGGACGGCCGGGACGCACACAAGGCGGCAGACAAGAGGTGCGGCAGCCTCACACACGGCGCGGCCATGACGCAGGGCGTTTACGCAAAAAACTACGAGCCCGCGTGGAGCGGGTCGGGCTCGGCCAAGACGCCGACGTTTGAGCTGCAGTACCCCAGCCCGCAGTCGCCCGAGAGCTTCGAGGCCAAGAAAGCACGCGACAACACCGAGTACGATCCCCTGGGGGACATGCAGTACACCATCGAAGAGATTATAACCCACTACCTCCCCGCCGATCTGACGCACGAGCTCTCCGACGACACCAACGGCACCGTGCGGAAGCTGAAGCGCGCAGCCAAGACGGGCACGTTTGCCGACTACCAGCTCGAGCTGATCCGCTTCAACAAGCTGGTCAGGGCCAAGCTGGCCGATGGCACCATCGCCGCCAGAATGGACGCCATGCACGCCATCCCGCTCAGCCTGGTCAAGCACATGACCCAGCAGACGTACGCGCGCATCGTCTCGCCGCTCTCGCACAAGCTGCGCAGAGTCAAGGGCAAAGAGACGACCTACGGCGAGCTGATGCCCGTCTTCATCCACCGCATCTTCGCCCAGACGGCGCTCAAGAGCAACCACGTCTTTGTCGACCTCGGCTCGGGCGTCGGCAACGTCGTCCTGCAGGCCGCCCTGCAGACGGGCGCCGAGAGCTGGGGCATTGAAATCATGGACCTCGCAGCCAGCCTGGGCGTGCGGCAGGCCGCCGAGCTGCGCGCGCGCGCCCGCCTGTGGAACATCAACATGGGCGCCATGCACCTGCTCCACGGCGACTTTCTGGACTGCGCGCGCATCGACGCGGTCCTCGCGCGCGCCGACGTGGTGCTCGTCAACAACAAGGTCTTTGGCGAGCAGCTCAACAACGCCCTGCTGCAAAAGTTCCTCGACCTCAAGATTGGCTGTCGCGTCGTCAGCCTCGACAGCTTCGGCTGCGGCGACGCAAAGGGCCTCCGCAACGAGCAGAGCATCGCTGCCCTCTTCGACGAGCAGCGCTTCGACTCGGGCACCGACTGCGTCTCCTGGGCCCGCGAGAGCGTCGAGTACTTCATCGCCACAAAGGCGCGGTAGTCGTGTCGTTGTCGGGCGCGGTAGTCGTGTCGTTGTCGGTCGCGGTAGTCGTGTCGTTGTCGGTCGCGGTAGTCGTGTCGTTGTCGGTCGCGAGAGACTGGGCCTGCGGACTGTCTTGGGCGCGAGAAGACTGGGCCTGCGGACTGCACTCAGGGCGCGTGCTGGCCGCGTGCGGATTTTGTATCAATACCCATTTCTATTCGATGGAGCCGCGGCGTCGGCGTGTACATGGACATGGACATGAACAGCCATTGTGAATACACGTGCACCCACATACACCACCATCCATAGACAGCATCCATTGTCAATACACGTGCACATACACCACCACCATTCACAGACAGCACCCATCTGTCAATGCAT